CGGCGCTCTGGCGCATGCCCAGCCCCCGTTAACGTTCTGGCGCGCGGTCGTCACTCGCTACTTACTGAAGGGTGGTGCCGCCTGTGGGAGGAGGTGAATTGCTTGGATGAAGGGGAAGAGATATGCCCTCTGCTGAGGGCCCGGCGTGGAGGTGGGGTCTGTCCCTTTCCCTTCTGCCCTGGAAACCAGCCTAGTGATGTGGGGGGAGGGAGGAGGACAGCCGGAGCTTCTGGGCAGGGACTCTCTGCCTCGAGGAGCAACCTTGAGAGGTGCCCCAGCTCAAGGGGAGATCACTGCCATAGAGCCTAGCAGTCAGAGCTCAAAGAGGGCTCACTTAGGCTGTCATATTTATAAGATAAAGTGGTTGGCTTGTAGTCAAATTACATGTGATAGGAGAAGTATGCATGAGGCTCCTTGTACCCATGACTTTGTTCCTGGAAAAATGAATCTTAGAAAAGCCACCTGCTCTTCATGTGTTAATCGCATGGTCAGTGTTCCAAGCTCATATGCATTGATGCTCTCTCACTTGGCTCCTTTGTGGGTTCTCAGAGAACAGATAAGAACCAGAGGACTCCTTGGCCTGGCTGTGGCTCAGGCCTTTACCTCCTTTGGACCCTGTACCAAAATACTGCTAGTTTGGTTAAGAGGTTGAGTGCATCCGTCACAACTACTGAAGTGAAGTAGCAAAATTCTGATTTAAGTGTGAATGCTGTTAATGTGTTTAAAAATTACAAAGAATGTGTCCTTATGGTAAAAGCAGCTTGTTTGTGTTGGCATGGTGGCCTGTATTTTCTGAAAGTTAGGTCCAATTCAGAACCCCAACAACCTCTTCCAGCATTATGTTTTTAAGTTTCACAGTTACATGTTAATTGGGTTAATCTTCAGTATTATATATACATGTTGTTTGGTTAAGAGTATTTTGTTCACTTCTAGATAGAAAACTATTCAGAAGAATACTGAAATAGAAAATCTAATTATCTTCAACGAAAAAAATAAATATGAACCAGCTGACAGTTTGTCCATGATTATGGAGAATCAGATATTGCTTGATATAAGATCAGTAATAGACAGTGGCCTTGTAACTGAAGTATTTAGTCAAAATAGTCCTGTTAGTTCTGAAGACTTTAATCTGGGAACTGCAGTAATTAATAATCCCTTTGAAGAAGGATTGCTGTCTAGTGAAGACAATAATTTATGCACTGCAAATGTGGGAGAGACTTTGTTAGATCACTTCAAGTATCCACATACCATTGAAAATCAAAATACAATAGTAAAAGTTGAAGTACATCAGCACAGAAGCAACAGCTGTGATGATGAAGATCTTGAAAAATACAAGGAATTAAATCTTCCGGAAGAAGCTAAACATATGTCTTCTCCTTATCTGCCTTCAAATGGTGTCCACTTTCTTTCTTCTGTAGCAACACAGCATAAAAATTGCAGTCTTCCAACTTCAAGGATTTTCTTTCCAGAAGGAACAGTCAATCAAAATGTCAGAATGATACCAGTAAGATTAAGTGAAATAGGAATTTTTATATATTCATGCTTATTTGTGACTTAAATGTGGGAATTGCCACATTAAAACTTCTATGGGATCCACATAACATTTAAAGTTATGACATAAATTTTATACTAGAACAAATTTAGTAAATACAGAAATTTGTTTTATATTGCCAGAAATAGCATGCAGTGTGAACTTGTAGTTCTGACTCCTGTTCTTTTTTGTCCATGTTATGCACCGTATTTTTAAATGGCTGGGTAGTCATTTTGCTCATTAAAAAAGTCTTACCATGTGACAAATATACCCACTTTGGTTTTATATATTACTGTCTGTATTAGCAACTGTTAGATAATTGTGCAAAGTACAAATAGGTTATTAACTTTTTTCTTTAGTTCCACAGATGACACTTGTAATCTTAAAATTTATAGTCCAAATGAGTTAAAAAGTAATTTATTTGCAGCAGTAAACTGTAGCTGTATTGTTAAATCTCCATGGGGAAAGTAGTTTTGTAAGAGAGGGAGGTTTTCCATTGCTTACCCCATTTGCCAGTGTTTCTGTATAGTTTGAAGTTACATTTTCTATGTTGGATCAATTACTATCTAGAAGGGTACACAGCATAAAACTTCTTGTGATGCTCACAGGACCAAATCCGTCTACTTAATGCAGGCTATTCATATGTAGGATACTTATGTGTCCTTGAATCTTTGTTTATGGCTGTAGAATATCATCTGAACAAATCTCCAAATTCTAAGTTTACACTGTGGCTGCTTCTAGAGGGGCACTGAGGTTTCCTCTGAGAAGCTATCTTGAAAGAATTAAGCACACCAGTTGACATTTTTTTCCACGTAAATATTTTGACAAACAGTGCTTTTCTCAGATTAAAAGATCAAAAGCATTAAAAAAAAATCCCCAAACTCATAAAAATCACTTGGTTGAAAATGAGGTCTGATTTTTCCTTGCAGTATCCCACTGAGGTGCCAGGCTGAAGCCAGGTGGCAGCTGCAGGGCTGTCTATGCAGGAAACCCCCTACCACAGAAATCATTGGTGACACTACCCAGCCCAGTGTGTTTCCCAGTGGCATTTCATCCTGAGATGCTTGAGGTCTACCATGACAGTTATCTGATGTGTTTTGGTTTTCTTTCTGATTTCAGGTTATGGTTCTAGTTTAAAAGTATCTCTGGCTTGGGAGGTTGTATATGCACATGTTCAATATTATCAGCAGTTCCTTAATAATCAAGACCTTCAATCTTTTGAACTGTTAATAAGATCGAAAAGACTGATGGAAGCCTCTAGAAAATAGATTTGATTAAGGCATAACAGTTGCTTTCTTCAAAGTCGAGTTGAAGCTAGTGAAAATTTGTTATTCTCTGTACAAGGAGTTAAAAATAAGATTTGGAAAAAATCTTTCTGACCAGCTCTCTTCCTAGTATCCTTACAGTTTATCACGCTAAATCTGCATGTTTCCTTAATTTGCCCTGTTTCTTGAAGGTATTAGAACAAAATTCTAATCAGGTTATAAATAATTTTATTGAAATAAAGCTGATTGGTTGTTTCTACGCTGCTTACTTACTCCCCTAAACTACTGTCTATATTAAGAGGAAGCACAGCACACAGAGATAGAGAGCAAATTGTCTGGTTTGAACAATCTCAATTCTAATTTGAAACTCGAAAATAATTGGTTTCTGTCTTTGTTCCATTTTCTGTTCATTTGGTTTGTTTTTGAAAATACAAATGTAGGTATGAAGTATGATGCTATTATAGTTGTAAATGCATTAGATCTGAACCATAACTATATATTGAGCAGAAAAAGAAATAATATTCAATTCAAATATAACAGATCTGGTAATGCTGAATAGGCTGCAGCATTTATGTGCTTAATTATGTCAAGAAAATGCAAATAACTTCCAATTTTCAAGGTCACTAAGTCAGTTTTTTGTTTATTCATTTGGCTTTTAAAAAATTAATAATGCATAAAATAGTTATAAATAAACCATTCTTTTCTTCAGGTGTTCAGATCATTCATACCTCCAGTTACAGGTGAGAATAAATGTATTTGCTATGATTAATTTAAAGGAATCCAAAACAGTACTATGCAGTTACAAAACTTGACCAATTACTTAAATGGTAAGTGCCCCAAGTGATTGAGAGGGATTTTTTTTTTTTCTCCTCCTATAATCATAGGGAAGGATTTAAATAGCTAAATAAATTAATTTCTGGATTTGGCAAATTGCAGTATGAGTCTTTTCTAGTAATGTTAATATAACTAAGAATGTTTGAAAGGAGAATGGACCACTGTTTGTTCATGTATGTTCATGTTGCTTCAACCATGTAGTTCAGTCTTTTCATTTTCCCTTCCTCTCATACCACCTGCCCATTCCTTCAGGGGACTGTGAAGAAGATATTCCTTCTTGCAGCACTTTTTTTTTTTTTTTTTTTTTTTTTTTTTTTTTTTGAAAAAAGATAATTCCTTTTTCCAACCTTTTTTTTTTTTTTTTTTTTTTTTTTTTTGTTAGTTGAACAATGTTTGTATTTCACTTTGAAGTTTGAAAGTTAGGTTGTTTGCACTGATGCTGCTGCTGACTATAAGCTTGTGAGCAGTTGTTTGATGTGTTCTGGACATAACCTGTTCACAATCCTGCTCATGGTTAAACTGACTGCTAGGTTTGATCTTATGAGGTAGTTTATCCTGAAGCTAAATGAATTTTACCAAATGGGCACAATAAACCTTTTAAAGACATCCAAAAGACCCAAACTGAAAAAAACCCAGCAAGTCTGTTACAAAAGAATATTAAATATTTCTTTCACAAGAATGTAATGCTGTAGTGACATCAAAATCTCTTTTATTGATGCAGTATAGGAGTTCTTGCTATAAAACACTGATTTTTTTGTAAACAAAACGTGCTTTATTTTATCTACTAGAATTTTCCAGTGATATCTGTGGCTTACCTCAAACTAGTGCTTCTGTCTATGATGAAATAGTCAGTATGCATGCAAGATTTTTTTATTATTGGAAGAATCTGTCCAAGTGTTGAATGTCTAAAATGGGATTTATTCTAAGTGCCAGGTGAAAGGTTCTTTCAGACAGTCCTGTCTGATCTGTTCACAAAAGAGAGGGAAAGAAAAATGTTGCTCCATAGATTTCCTACGCTGCTATCGTGGAGGAAGGAAGAATAGCATCTGGATTTTTCACCTGTTTCTGTTCCTATTGGCTCAAGTCTAGTAGGCTTGTGTCTGCCACTTGCACGTTCTGGTTCCAGTTCAGGCCAGTTAGGGAGGGGCCTTCTCCTAAGGCCACCTGAACACAAACTGCCTAGTGGGACTCAGCCAAATACCCTTGGTTGGCTGATTAGTATTTGAGCCTGTATCACATGTGCAGTGTATATAAATGAACAGAGCTGAGGATGGAAAATCTGGCTTTAACATTAACATACCCTGCCTATGGAGAGATGTTCTTTGCAACTTAATTATTCTCTTAAAATGAGATTTCTGAAAGTTTTGTAGCCAGGTTTTTCAAGGTTGTCCATTTGGTGTTTAAAAGTGTGTACTGAGAGGAGCAAGACTTCATCTGGAAGTGTGACTTTTGTGAAGATGACACTGTAATGTGTAATGTTAATGGATCAGCAAGATTGGTGATAAATTAGTTTTCAACAAATGCAAGTAGCACCACATCTATGATGGAATGCCATGACACACAGTAGTTGATCACCGTAACAAAAGTTCATTTTGGAACAATCTGATTTATAGGTATAACTGCATTTGCAGTCCAATCTCAGATGACTATTTCTTTCTTAGACTAAATCCCAATGATCCCCAGTCAAGTTATATAATTAAAGATTAATTCTTATTTTGCATAATTTGCTGTGACTATTGCCTAGCTTCTCCAAGGCAGAAGAACACAGTTGATGCTTCATGATTTTGGAGACACTGAATGCCATTGTTACTGTGAAGTATGTTACTGTTCATTGTTATTCTTCAGGAATATTTTTACTTATAAGCAAAAATCATTCTGCCATTGACAAGTAAATTAACTATTCTCAGTATTATATTTGAATACAATCCTTGCTTTAAAATGTATGATTTATGCAGATAAATTTTTAAATTTATTGTATTTGCTTGGAATTTAAAGTAGATTATAAAGCATGCCTGTTATGATTTAAAACTATATTTCAGGCTGAGGTAAGAGAGGCAGTTGGTAATGTTATTGAGAATCACGAAGACAGAGCAATTTTTCAGAGTTCAAATGTTGACGAGTCTGGCTGCAAGTTATTAGCATTGCACAGTGTAGCAGAGGAATCCAGATATTCACACAGAAATTATTCCAACCCTGTGGTAATTATATCCTGTAATTGATAGCAAAATTATGTGCTAGAGAAAATTAACTTACTTTTACCATGCTAGCATCAGGAAGTCCCACTTAGTACGTGCTGTATCAAGAATAATAAGGCAGTCCCTTCCTTGGACTCACAGTCTAAATTTTATCTAGATATCGTGCTATTTTATATATATCTATAAACCCCCATATTATTTTCTATTTAACAGCTGGAAACAAACAAACAAACAAAAACCCCAATGTGAAGATTACTTCATCTGAAGGAAAAGTCTTGATTTAAAATCACAGCTAAATAAATTAAATGAAACATGAACAATTACAATGGCATGTTCTGGTTAGGAAACTGAATCTGAAGCCAGCACACTTGTACATAGCTAGAGTATACTCTACAAAGCCCCATGGAGCAATTTAGAGAACCAGGAATCCATATCACCTAGGCTGAGGGGCTACAGTGTTAGATCTCAATAGCTGTTTCCAAAAATAAATTAAGGGTCAAAAATCAAACATCTTAATGCATAATGATCCATTTGTTTGAGAGATTCCAGTCTGTGATTATGAAGCTTTGTAAGACAGGTGGTACTCTTACAGAAACCTTTATATCTATATGCTTAGAATTACAGTTTCTTAGATGAAAGCTAATCATTCATTATTCATTCCAGGTTATCTGCCAGCTGGAAGGAGGTACTCAAATACTCTGTGTAAACAGTTGTGGCACACAAGAACTCAAACCAATTCATCTAATTCCTGAGTATCACGACCAACATAATTTTCTTCAATCAGGTACAATATAAATGAAAATTATCTTCAGTTTGTCAGATAGTATATCATAGATTGTTAATGTGCAGCTGTATGTGTTTATGTTCTGTCGTGGTTTAGCCCCAGCCAGCAACTAAGCACCA